CCGCTATAATGATAGCCAAGTGTTCATCAATGTACGGTTGCATCAGTTGTGTACTCTGCAAGACACTGTAATGTGCCCGACTCACCTCTTTGTAATCATGGTCGATGAACACTTTTCCACCACAGAGCGAGCCTACCCTTGTGACGAGAATCGAGTTTACCAATCTCTTTCTGTACTTTTAGGTACTCTTGGCAGCACTCGACGACTTCTTTAGTACTATAACCCTCTATCATGGAGCCCTCTAGGTATACTCGATTATGCACGTATCGACTTAGAACCGACATGAACCGCTCATAGGACCACATTTCATGCAAGTAGCAAGGGCCTAGCGCCTATATCTGATGAACCATGTGAATCTTGAGATGTGGCATTATATCAAAAAAGCAGGAGGTAAACACATCTCTAGTTGGTTTTGTGTCTCCACCATAAATTCATGTAGGTCACTCAACTCTTGCTTGCCAATCATCTTCTGTGAGATCTTCGAAAAGAAGTAGCACATGCGGGTGATGGCCATTTTCAAGAACTCTAGCTTTATAGCCCTGATTATAATAGGTAGAAACACAGTCAGCATCACATGACAATCGTTATCCTTGCAGTGTGTTATTGATAAGTCCTTCATCGACACTAGCTTCTTCACATTTGCTGAAAACCCAGTCGGGACTTTCACCCCCTCAGAAAAGTGCATATAGCTCTGTTCTCTTCTGGTGTTAGGTTGAAGCACGCCGCGGGCAAAGTGTATTTTCCATTAGCCTCAGGTACCGGGTGAAGTTGTGGCATCACATTTAGCTGCACCATGTCTTTTCATGATTTCAGACCATCCTTTGACTTGCCTATGTCCATCAAGGTAGCAATGAGACTCTCAAAGACATTCTTCTGCACGTGCATAGCATCAATGGCATGGGGGACCTCCAAGTCTGGCCAATAAGGCAGATATTGAAAGAAGATCGATTGTTTTTTGAAAGGTATGCCTTCGATAGGAGGTGTGCTTCTATCTCTGTTCATCCCATCTGGATTCTTCTTTCCATAGACGACGCGTATGTTTTTCACCATTCTGTACATGTGTTCTCCGTTATGACGTCTCTCTAGAGGGGGTTCAATCTCCGGGGTGTTGTCATAAAATCTAAAGAATAATTTACTGCGGTACTTTTGACTTGTCTTTAAGAAGCGCCGGTTCCTTAGGTAAACTATCTTCTTTGATGCATCCAGAAACACCCATGTAGCACCATCCAAGCAAACCAAACATCCGTCTTCCCTTTGATCTGTCCAGACAAAACAAACAGCGTAGGGTAATCATTGGTAGTAACAAATATTATTGCTCTACATATGAAGTCCTCCTTTCGGAATGCATCGTACATCGGCTCCCTATGCCTCCATAGCCTCTCCATTTCTTGCATCAAAGGCTCGAGGAACACGTCTATATCAATGCCTAGTTGTTTAGGGCCAGGAATAAGAATAGTGAGGAGAAGGTACTTTCTCTTCTGACACAACCACGTTGGGATGTTGTACATGGTTAAGATCACTGGCCAAATAATATGGTCGCTCATCCTCTCATTGAAGGAATTCATTCCATTGGTGCTCAAGCCAAACCATATATTCTTTGGGTCATCGTTGAATTCTTTGTGCTTCTCATCGATCCTTTGCCACTGACTACAATCAGTCGGGTGTGTGATCTTATCATCATCCACCTTGCGCTCATCATCCCACCATGTCATGAGTGCGGCTTCTTTAGGGTTTAGGAAGATACGTCTCAAGCGGTCGGTCACTGGCAGGTACCACATTACCAAGGCAGAAATTCTTCTCTGCTTTGCATCGTTGCCTAATGGAGTGTCCTCTGGGAGGCTGAGATTCTTGTACCACCTTTTTTGTACCCTTCTTATTTCTCTTTTTCCCCGTGGAGGCTTCGTCCCCACCGTAAAGGTTATTGTTCTTGTACCGGCTGGCCCCACATCGGGGACATTTATCCAGTGACTTGAATGTTTTGCCACGAAAAAAGTATACAGTGGTTGGGGCATGCTTGGATTTTTTCAACCCCCATTGTTAATGGACTTATGACCTTGTTCGCTTGGTACGTGTTGGTGTGAACTGAGTTTGGTTGTGGCAGCACCCATGACAGGAGACGCAATAGATCATTGAAACTACAGTCTAACCAGCCGTACTTAGCCTTCAGGATGAGTAGCTCAAGCACAAAACGTAGCAATGTCCAATGTGTCGGACAACCCTTTTCAACACCATACAGTCTCCTTCGATGCTTTTGTCACCCTTTCCAAATTTTCTAGACCTTTTGGGCTCTTTAGTAAAATCTCTGGTCCAAGGGCTCAAATCATGTCCTCCAAATCATCTTCGACACGTGCTCCACCATCATTATTGGAACCACCTTCGTCGTTACCATCCCAACCACTAGCATCACCACCTTATTTATTACCAAACTCGGAATTCATTCGTGCATCAAGCTCTGCTGAATATTGGGACAGATATTCAAGGGTTTCATCGTCGTATTCCTCCTCATCCTTATCTTTAACAATAACCGTTTCACCATGATGAATCCACACTGTGTAGTCCTCAACAAAACCTCGCATAATCAAATGTGATATGATAATAGTCACATATGTCCATGACATACGGTTCTTACAATCTTTACAGGGATAAATAATTGTATCCTTATTATTTGTCAACGTCGCTGCATGCTTCTTTGCAGCTTCAATAAATTTATCCACCTCTTCACAGAAACCTGCCTTGAACCTTAACGAACCATACATCCAAGAGTTCCTGTACTCAATCTTTTACAACAACAACAAAACAAACATTAAAGGACTACTTATTCATATATATATATAGATGAATCAAATTAATAATTACTTGAGAATAATTGTATATACTTCAGATATATATATATATATATATATATGAATATAAATCAAATATAATTACATAAAGCATACAACACACCATGGTAGAGGAAAATTAATTAATGGCCGTTTTATCCATAAATAATTAAAATACATATTTATTGATTATAATAAATAATTTTAAAGACAACAATTAACAACAATTATATTTTACCCAATATCTTTTATGCAAACCCTAGTTCAATTTCATCAAACATAAATTTACAAAAACAAAATTAATAAAAAAACCAAACCCTATATCTAGATCTACATACACATGAAACATCCATAAAACTAACTAATTGTTCACTAAAATCAAAAAACATAGATCAAATAAGGGTATGGTCTTGTTCCCCTACCTAATTTACCCAAATACATTCAATACTTGGATCTATTTTGCTTCATAAGTAGCTCAAGCACCATAGAAAAGAGAGAAAAACAAAACTCTAATTAGTCACTAACCAACTATTAAAACTTCAAAAAAGTGTGGAATATCATTTTCTTCCCTTCTACAACATCTTCACCAAAGAATTTGAGACCAAAGCATTCCCCCTTAATAGAGCAATTTTTGGAAGGTGCCCAAGGCCTCCCCGCCTTTCTTTCACGGGTTGGAGTGAGTGACCCGATGAGGATGAAGGTGTTACAGTTTTTATATACGTGGGTCATTTGTAGGGACGGCTCAATCACCAACCGCTCCTACAAATAACAACACCGGGGGCGGGTGGTGAGTGAGCCGCCCTTACAAATCCGACCCATTTGTAGGGGCGGCTCGTATTACCAGCCGTCCCTACTATTCTATTTGTAGAGGCGGCTGATATCGTGGCTCCCGAGCACGCTCCTATAGGGGCGGCTCTATCACCAGCCGCCTTAAAAAAAATTATCCCCTTGCTATGGACGCCTTTTTTAGTAGTGGCCGCCGCATGGATGATGCCCTTCGTGTTCCGACGATCGATTCTCCTGGACGTCAAGTCTAGAGAGAAGAAACCTTTGCTTGCTGCCGTGACCGGATCGCGGTTGCACACGTGCGTACATGTACGTGGTGGTGGTCATTCGTCATGCTGAAGCTCCACCGAACAGCACTACGACTCAATCGAATTGGCCCACGGCCCACCAATTTTTTTTCCCGTCCCTTCATGATGGGACTCCGGAGTTGCGAGACGTTGGTGTTGGTCGTCACTGCGGAGCGAAAGCCCAAAGCCGACGGGGGGATCGATCGAACTGGTAAGTACGATCGCTTCTTCCGTCCCAGGACAAGCAATACGTCGTCGTCCAGGTACTTGATCCGATCCGGCGCCGCGTGTTTGAGTTTCAAGACCAGTCTCACCACCGTTCCAAAAGGAAAGTAGCTAGGAATCATTGCCGGACGAAAAAAGAGCAGTCCACCTGAGCCATCGATGCAGCACCATCCAATTAACATGTCATCAGATACGCGTTGTGTGCCGGTGCTGCCAATGCAACAACAACACCCAGACGGGCCAGCCCTCGTTCTCGCGGGCTCACAGCCCTCGATGAAAACCCTCCGTCGTCCTCGTCCACGGCGAAAGAGTTCCCATGGAACTTCCCTCCGGTGGTCGTCCTGGTTCGGCGTCACTGTCATCCATCCTCCGCTCCGCCCGCAGGCAGCTCTTCCAGGAAGTTTCCTTGAGACTAGAAAATGCCCGGCGGAAGCTTCATGGAAATTTCCGGCGTCGACAGTCGAGCCTTAGTCTCCAAGAAAGAAACTTCGTCGAGGCACCAAAAAGTCTCTCCATCTGCTTGTTTTTTCGACGATTCCAGCCTATCGTTCCCGTCTCCGTCCCCATTCGTGAAAGTGACATGTCCTACACGAAGCAGACTTTGGGCACCTCTGATCGCCATATATATGGGGCGCTCCGTCTGCAGCGGGCGGGCAGCGGCTGCCGCTGCTACATTTCGGCGAACTTCGAGAAGTCCGTCACATTTTAGCTTACGGAAGAGCTTCTTGGCTTCCTTGCTCCCAAGTGAGGCACAAGTTACTGGCTACAAAGTAAGCCAGGATCTCATATCCACAAATGGGTTAGCGAGGTAACGGGTTTCATGGCTGCTGATGTCTATCTATGTTTATGATCGGCGGAGCTCATCGGGAGAGCATGAGCAATGGACAGCAAAGCTAGAGCGTGCATGCAGTTTGTAAGGAGCAGCTTGCAGTGTTTGCTTCTTCCACTTCTAGCTGGTTTACAATGGCCTCAACCAATCAATCGTCAGAGCATGCAACCGCAGAGCATAGGGAAGGAGCAGCCAAGGTTCCATGGGGATTCTGGAAGGCTGGAGCCTGGAGGACTGGACAGGCACAACAAGAAGAAAAAAAGAAAAGGATCCGATTGTGTCTCGGCGGTTGGACTTGTGATGTAGACGTACTGGACTGTCTGGACATGGAAGATGACTGTTCACTGATGTTCAGGGCTGCACCAAAAGCCAGGAGGAAGGTAGGCGCCAAGTACCAGAGCAAAGTTGTAGAGATCTCAGGTACCGTATATGCTCTATTTACTCTCAACGTCTTAGAATAAGTACATATCGTGGGCTTCGAACAATCAAACAATCTTAAATTTTACCAATATATAAAAATATCCATATTTATAATGTTAATATTTGCACCATTCAATTAATCATGTCATATATTTCTATAATATAAACCTATTTAGAGATACAAATGCTATATAAATCTAGTTAAACTTTATTATATTAGTTGATTCGTCGAAGTGTGAAATATGCACCTATTTTGAAATAGGGGGAGTAATTTACACGAGATGAGTGATATTAGTTCAGCCTCTAGAAGACTGAGCGTTATTCCTTGGCCGGACCTGAATTTCACTGTCTGGGCCGGCTTGATCAATTGCTAGAAGCGTTCTTCCCTACCCTAACTTATTCAATGTCTGGCTAGGCTGGATCAGCTTCTAGAAGCGTTCTTCGCCATCTTCGGACTTCAATTTCGCTGTCTGGCCGCGTAGCGGCTGCTGCTAGCTGGCCGAGTAGTTCTGTGTTGTTAGTAATCGGTTAATTAGCACCTTCTTCTCAAGTATATGAACACGGGCAACTTATATCTTATATAATATGAAATGTATTCTTATTGACAAGTACCTCTTTTTCTTCTTCCTTTTTTCAAGCCACATTTAATCCTGTTTGGCCGAACTTTTAGTCCCAAGCACATTGCTCAGGAATTGCGGACTGCAGAAGCTTCTTGGAATAAATAAAATAAATAATACTTATCAAAAAAATATTTAGGATGTCCCTTCCTGTGAAATACTGAAATCCTAGGCACCATGACTTTGTCGCTAACACATGGGCCTGACAGAGCAAGGACCCCATATGCCAGTAACCAGTTACCGTGATTTTAAAGTCATACACTACTGGATTCAGGTTTTTTGCCGAGTGTCTGAGGCACTCGGTAAAGGCTAAATTGCACTCGGCAAAGCCTTTGTCAAGTACGGCACTCGACAAAGAACACACGGTAAAAAATTGAACGGCAAAGACTTCTTTGCCGAGAGCCCCGGGGGCATTCGGCAAAGAAAAGCGACCGTCACGGCGCCGGCTCCGTTGACGGTGGCTTTGCCGAGTGCCAACCCTGCAGGCACTCGGCAAAGATTTTTTATTTTTTAAAAAAAAATTCTTTGCTGAGTGCCCACTGGCTGGCGCTCGGCAAAGTTTGATTTTTTTTTAAAAAAAATCTTTGCCGAGTGCCCTCTGGCCGGCACTCGGCAAAGTTTGAATTTTTTTTAAAAAAAAATCTTTGCCGAGTGCCCTTTTGCCGGCGCTCGGCAAAGTTTAAATTTTTTTTTTAAAAATCTTTGCCGAGTGCCCTATGACCGGCACTCGGCAAAGTTTGATTTTTTTTAAAAAAAAATCTTTGCCGAGTGCCATGGTCGTGGCACTCGTCAAAGCTGAAAAAATGGTTTTCCAAGCACCCATTTTCTAGCTTTGCCAAGTGCTGTGACCATGGCACTCGGCAACAGGGTCCTTTGTCGAGTGCAACACTCGACAAAGTGACCCAAAACAATAATTTTTAATTTTTTTATATTCCATCATGACAAATAAATTTATACAATCATATATCTCATCCATCACATATATATCTCATTCATCACGTATATATCTCATCCATCCACACATCCATCCGCACATATCACATCCATCACAATATATATCACATATATAATAATAAGTGCTCAAGTCCATCCAAATAAATCCACAAGTCCATCAAAGTCCACAAGTGCATCACAAGTATATCACAAGTCCATCACCAAGTGAACAACAAATGAAAAAATACAACGTGCACTCATCTCGCCCACTGCGACTGTGGTGAAGGCCCAGTTCCATCATTCGGAGGTGCATGAGGTGGATTATTCGAACCACCGTCAGATGAAGACTGCACAAAGGAGAAAAGATTACATGTGAGACAAGATTATTTGGATAGCTAATCTAGGAAGGTAGAGGCCATACAAGCAAAGCACAAGCGAAAATAAAAAACTTTCATACTCACAGGAGTAGCTGGAGCTGCAGGACGCGGAGGTAGAGGTGGAACCAACAGCCCAGCTGGAAGAGAGAAGCCCACATGTTGCCCAAGCCCTTGTAGGAACTCTGTAATGTCCGTCAGCTTCTGTGCCTGGGCCTGCCGCTCGGCCCACTCGGCCTCCAGCTAGGCCGCCATCCTCTGGTGCCCGGCCTCCAGCTCCTGACGTTGCCTCATTTCTCGTTCCAGTCGGGCCTGCAATATTTCACTCCAATGTTTCAGTAATACAAAGCTAATTAAGGTGTGTAAAGATCAATGTATGACGAGTAAAACAGGAATAACCTCGAGTGCGTCGACCCGGTGCTGTGCAGCGGTCGGCCGTGTGTGAATGGCCGAGCTCTCGCTCGTGCTCCGTGCTCAGATCTGGGAGAGAGAGGGAGTAGAGGCCATGTCGATGACGCCGTCGCCAAGCCAGAACCGCCCATGCTTCTTGCCTTGCCCCGCCCTCATGACGGCCTCTCCATCAAAGTCCTAGGTGCTCGGATCGTAGTCTGACCCATGGAGCGACCTCGCCACCGCAGTGTACTTACTGATGCGGGAGTGGACGCTCGGGTTCATGTATGCCTCGAGCGGGTCTTCTAGGTTGAAGGAGACGTTGGACATCGCCTTGCCCTTGTGGGCCATACACCATGCCTAGAAGTCCGAGCAAGCCTGGCCACTATGTGACGCCGACTGCGAGAAAGACAGCATGATGATTAGAAATCAGGCAGAACTGAGCGTCACAATAGATAAATGAATTTGTGTACCCATGCTTGTTTGTATCCGGCGAGGCTGTTGCTGCCTTGATGGTGTGTTGGACCTTGCATCTGCAAACGATGGTCCTAGGCATCCCTGTACATCTTGAGGTACTCCTCCGTGAACCACCTCTCCACCATCATCGCCCAGCACTCGAGATACGCTTGGCACCACCAGAGAATCATCTACACGTCATCAAGTATTGGACATATAAGAAGATCAAATTGAACCAACTTAATCTCAAAACGAATCAATATTGATGTTCTTCATTTACCTCAAGGTACTGCTCTCGGGTCAGCTGCATCTCTCTTGCGTCTTTCTTGGTTTTCCTCTCTCCAAGCTTCGACCCGTAGTAGGTTACGATGGCCTGGATGCGCACCTCGTGATGCATGTCACTGACGAGTTTTTTACAGGCTTTGGTAGTCACCTGCTCCGCCCTAGCCTCAAATCTCTCCTCGCATCTGTAATAAGTCTGCATACAAAAGCGATGTATCCATTCATTATTTCAGGAAAAGTCTAATGAATGCGACGTATTGAGCAATGTTGTGCGAGGGAGACTTACCCACAACTCTGCCTTCACCCGCGCCGCCTTGTTGGGGTACTCCGCATCGGTGGCGATGGCGTAGTGGTCAAACGAGTAGGCTAGCTCCTTCTTCGATGCGTACGTGACAATGCCGGGGAAGTGTTGCCTGCACAGAAGACCCAGGATGCCGTTGACTAGCCATACGCTACCACCCGACACAACCACCCAGTTCCTACACAAGTGATTAAGAAAAATTATTAGTTTTTTTCATCATATCATATGAAGTAGTGGTGACAACATATAAAGTTACTTACTTTTGCCCTTCGGGGCGAATCACTAGGCGTTGGTGAGGAAGCGGAACCTGTGGGAGGTTCACGGGACCTCGCAAGTAGACACTCGAAGAGGAGTCGAAGGAAGGGGAACCCGTGCCTGCCGCCTCCAACTCGTTGTCCTCGTGCGGCCCCTCCTCCTCGTCCGTCTGCCAAACCAGCTCATCGCCCGACTTGTCCAAGGGCGCCACCTCCTCCTCCGGCTCCTCCTCACACGGCGTGGGAGGAGACGGCCCCCTCCTACGTCTGGCAGTCCTCCTCCTCCTCCTGTCTAATCCCTCCGCCGCCCCCCTCCTGCAGTCGGCGTGGTCTTTGGTAAATCGAGTTCACGGACCTATGACGGTCGCCCGCCATCTTTGTTCAATCACCTGCAATAAAAAAGAAAAACAAGACGTAATTAGAAATAGGTGCAAAAATGAACAAAACATAATTACAAAAAAACATAGTAATACATGTATTACAAATATTTGAAAAAATGAACAAAACATAATTACAAAAAACATAGTATTACATGTATTAGAAATAATCTTCATGATTGAGATTAGTTGGATCATAGGTCTCGTCATCACTATCAACATTGTCCAACTCATCAACACTATCCGAAGGAGGAATGTTGTCTTCATTGTCATTGCCTAAACGTAATCGCTCAAGCATTTGTATGTCCTTCATATTTCACACCTCGTCTCCAGCGTCCTCGTCATCATCCCTTTCATTGTCTACTTCCATTCCTATCTCTTCGTTTAAGTCTATGTCAAACCTCCCTTGTAGTCCATCTTCTTGATAGAACTCTCCATCATATGTGTTTGGGTTGAAGTTATAATCTTCATCGTTTGGGACAGGTAGTTTACCGTGTGGCGATACCTTGTGCACAATAGACCAACCCATAAGATGCTCAGCGTCTTTGCACGCATATGACGTATAATAAACCTGGATGGCCTGTTGAGCCACAATGTAGACATCTTTTCCTGGATAGACGAAATCCTGTCGAATCTCGACTAGCCCAAGCTTAGGGGTCCGTCTCGTTACTCCAGGATGAAACCAGTGGCATTTGAATATGACAGGAGTAAGAGGTTTGGAACCATAGAATGCTAGTTCGTAGATTTCTTCAATTCTTCCATAATAGTCGAGTCCATCAGTGCCGGGCCTAACAACTCCGCTGTTTGTGGTTTTTCGATTAGGCCAACTCTGCTCGTAGCTTGCTATGTGAAAACGATATTCATTCACGTCATAACCGGTAAATGACTTGACCCTAACGGCA